TAAAAATTGGGATCATAAGGCTGTGCTCGTCCTTTGATGGGAGACTCAGATATAAGATCAAGGATGATCTCTATGCACTCTACAACCCTGTCAGGCTTTCCTCCAATAAGAACTCTGCTGGTGGAATGAGGACAGCATTCTTGGAAAAGTTTGATTGTCGTCTGAGTGTTCTCTCGAAGTTCTTTGATTTTAGCACCTTTGACCCCAATAATTCCTCCTGCCAGACTTTGATGAATTAACAGTCTCAACTCACAGTCAAAGTCACTTCCTTTATAGTGTTGGTAACTCGAGCATTCCTCAGTGTCAGACTTGAGCGGGAGCCGGCTGGTTGCAGTGGGTGACGGCAACCACAGGCCCTCTTCCAAGGTAGGGATGATTCTCTTTATTTTTATTATTATTTTTTTCAACATTTTATTGACAAACAGGATGATTCTCTTTAGAATTTCTCCAATTGTTTCAGTATCAGCACTGATCCTCACTATGCGCTCGGGGCCGCTGCTGTCCGGGACTGAAACGCTGGCACTGTAGTCTGCATGGAGAGCCTTAATGTTCTTGCCTCCTTTTCCGGTTACTGCCGCAGCATTCTTGCTTGAAAGCAGAATTCGTACTTCAACCATCTCATTGGTGTTTCTAGATCTTTTAAACGCTTGCTCCTCTTCCATATCTCCTGCAGGACGTTTACCAAATTCAGCACTGGTTTCAGTGTCGGGGAAGGTTTCCTCTGGCTACTCGGTTTCCATTTTCTTGTATTAAATGGACACACCATCTATAGGCCACAAACAAATGGGATCAGGCAGGATGCCAAGGTCGGTGCAGCAGAGAAGCGGAGGATAATGGTAGCCGCAGTGCCTTCACCCAGAGTGCTCTCCTCCTCTCTCATTTGCTCACTCCCAGGGCCCCATCTTGACTCTTTCAGTTCTCCAGGTGTTAAGTTGTAACCATGGTTAACATCTCCTTTGTTTCCTTCAACCACTTCATCAGGGAACCTGGTGAGCTCCGCCTCTGAAGCATGGCCCAGGCCTGACTGCCTCACTGTCACCTCTGTGCCTCGCTGGGCCCATACCACCAGCCTCTGCCAGCTGTGCCACACCAGTGACCTCCAGCCATGATCTGCTCAGTGTTCTGCTCTGCCTCTGTTCTTTCATGCTTGCCAGCCACGTGCTTCATCCTGGTTACTGAGAGCGTCCTAGATCCGTGGATAGGAGACGCCATGCGAAGTTGCCAGCAGAGGTCAGAGTGCTGCAGTCCCAAGCTGGGGACAGCAGAGCAGTGAGAAGCTGGACAAGGCACAGGGCAAGTCCTCCTCCTCGGAAAATAGCTCAGTAGATGTCTTGACTTCAGATTCCTGGACTCTAGAAAAGTGACAGAAGAGAGCTCTGCTACGTCAAGCAACTCAGCATGTGGCAAGTTCTTACAACAGCCCTAGAAGATGAAGCCCCGTGACCTGCACCTCCAAGGGGATTAGAGGCAAGGCACGTGGTGCTATGGGTGCTGTGGGCCTCCCTATTTGCAACTGTAAAGTACCCCAATTGTACCAACATCCTATGGTACAAATCTCTGTAATGATAAATTGTGACGCATGTCTTATAAAACCAGAAGCAGGTGAGTGTTTGAAAGGCTGCTTTTCAAAGAGGATGTTTTTGCCATTGTTTCAATAAATATTAAAATAAAAAATATTAAAATAATACATAAGTTTATAAGAGAAAAAATTTATTTTTAAAATTTTATTTATTTGTATTTTAGGGTAGGGTCTACAGGGTGTTCAGGGTCTCACTACTAGATCGGACTCATAGTGATCTGCTTGTTTACAGCCTCCTAAGATCTGGGATTACAGGAATGTGCCACCACGCCCAGTCTCCATTGCTGTCTCAGTGCGCCCTGGAGGCAGGGCTGGCACGCAGGACTGGGGATCAAACTCCTGGCCCCTGTGCCTGCTTGCAGGCACTTTAATCTGCTGAGCTATTTGGATGGCCCTCAAGAGAAAAATTTTAAATCTGAATTTTACACCTGTACCTATAGCCACACTGTTCTGGAGAGTTACCCATGTTCCCTTGTAGATTTGATACTTACATTTCACTTCAGGGTTAAGTCTTAGGTCCACCACCCCTGAGTCCTGTGACCTGGCTCAGCCTCCTTGTGCCTCAGTTTCTCTCACTGCCTAGATGATGATTACAATGACCTCCAGGGTCCTGGCTAGGATAGATGGGGCTACCTATGAGAAGCACAAGTCCCTGGGCCTGGCCAATGTCTACATAGGAAGAGGAAGATGTAGGGCCACTGAGCCCCAGGCACCCCACCAGGTGTTAGCAAGTCTGGCACTCTGAGAGCGCTCATTCATTCACATGTCATATGTCTCAGGAGACAGGGCACCCTTGTGCTGCTGCACGGTGCCCTCCTCTCTCAGTCCCAGGCTGGCATGGGCAGCCCCAGCCCCACCCCTGCTTCCACAATTGGTCCCTCTTTGCTCTTCTGGTGCACGAACGCCACCTCTCCCAGGAAGCCTCTTTGGCCTGGGTGAATTTTGGCGACTCCTGGCGCTCTCCCAGCCCTGACTTCTCCCACTCACACCACTAAAGCCACCCCATACTCTGCCAGCTTCGGTGCTTCAAATTTTGTGGAGGTTAGCCTTGTCTTACTTGATCCTGTGGCCCCTGCTGAGCGCAGGACGCAGAAGCAGGAACAATGCTCACGAACCACGGAGATCTTCTCCCTTCCTGTCCCCAAGCCTCCTGGGATTTCTTCCATCACAGCACACATCACAGTCCTAGTCTTCACTCTTGCTGTGCATGGCTATCGATTCATATAGATATGCCAGTCAGCTATTTCTATGATAATCCTTCCGAACAAACATGCCCTAACCTCAGCGACTTAGGCCAACACGGTTTTTCTTGTTGATGAGCCGTAGGTGTGCCCCAAGATGCACGAGGGGTCCCAGTCTGCATCTCGGGCTTTCATTCTGGGAACATGGTCTACCTTGGGCCAGCTCCTCTTGTGGTGGATGGTGGAAGTGTGACTGTGGGCACCCATGCGGCATCCCTTAAATCCTTCATGCAGGACTGGCACATTTACTTCCTCCTACAAACCCTCACCCTCACCCACATTCTCCCCCGGTATTGTGAGGGGCCTCCTTTATACTGCATTCAGGATGTGGCCCCATGTAGCCAGGCCACACCACAAGGGCTTGGTGGCGGAGCGCATGGCGGAACTCGTTTCCCAACCACTTCACGGTGCTAGAAACACCACCTGATTGAATCAGCAGCACCCTGCCAGGCTCAAAGCCAGCCTATGTCACAGAGGCCAGGCCAGGGGACCAGTAGTCAGCCCCACAAGTGGGTGGTTCAGGCCAAAGACCTGGGCTGCCCGCCGCTGGATGGCATGGGCTCCAGGTTTAGCTCTTCCGGTGGCCTGGAGTCCCGAGAAGCAAGTCCCTGCCTGTGCTCCTGTGCTCCCCTGGGGGTCTTCCTGCAGTTTCAAGAGTTCTGGTTTTTTTTTTTTAATTTTTTTTTTAATTTTTATTTATTTGAGAGAGAGAGAGAGAGAGAGAGAGAGAGAGAGAGAGAGAGAGAGAGGTGTGTGTGTGTGTGTGTGTGGCCAGCTCAGCCCACCAGGGGGCGGGGCTGGCTGGCATGTGGTGCTGGGGGATTGAACCGTGGTCCCTGATGCCTTGCCAAGCTTGTTCTAAGTAGGTGCTTTAGACCACTGAGCCATCTCTCCAGCCCAAGAGTTCTGTTTTTACATGCACGTCTTCGCTCCTTTTCTATTTGATTTTAGTGCAGGGCGAACCATTGGATTTAGTTTCCGCCTTCTGCAGGTGGATCCCAGTTTTCCCAGTACCGTTTGCTAAAGAGGATGAATGTTGTCTGCTCTAAAATGTGGGGTGCGGTGGAGGTTTCTGGTTGCTAGGTCATTTAAGCTAGAAAAGAATTTTGCGAAGACTGTGATGTCTCTTTAAGCCCTTCATGTGTCTTACTGAGATTTTTTAAAAATGAGAAACAAAATTTGGAGATTCAACCTATTGGAGAAAATGTTTATAAGGAAAAACAGGAAAAGAAGAAAAGATTGAAGAGGACAGGCAAGGGAAAGAAAACAAAAAGAGATCAGAGAAAGAAGAGAGGAGAGGAGAAGAGAGGAGAAAGAAGAGGGAGACGGGAAGACCCAAATCTCTTTCTAACAAAGCAAGCGCCCAGCAGATGGCGGGATCGGGCCAGAAGATGCCGCCGCGCTCCGGGAGGCCGGGTGGGCGGCCCCGCGCGGCCGGGAATGTCTGGCGCTCCTTGAGGAGCCCCGGGAAGGTGCCGCCCGCCCAGCCCTTAGGCCCGGGGGCACCATTGCGCCCCTGTCCTTAGAAGGCCGGGTCCCTCATCTTTCTCACACCTCTCTGGGCTCCTCTTGGGGCGCAGGAATCAGAAAGGAACCCTCCCCCCGCATCCGAGCCCTTGCCAGGCAGTTTGGGGAAATCCCGAGGCCCACGCCTGGCTATTTTCAAGGAGACTAATTCCCAGGCGGCAAACCAAGGCTCTCTCGGGCCTCAGTTTCCCATAGAGAGGACTCAAATTCGGCCCGACAAGGGCGGGGCCCTACTTTCATTCAGTCGGATGTCTAGGAACACACAAAGGAGCGGCGCGTGTGCCGGAGGCGGGCAGACAACGCGCGGTCGCGCGTCCCCCTGGGAACCCGAGGGACCCAGGCGCCTGGGTTCAATGAGGACGCGCTCCGCGCCCCCACCCAGGGGACCTCGGCCCGCATCGCCCCAAGATGGGGAGCAAACACTTCTTTCTTTCGGATGGCGGCAAGGGGGCGTGGATGGCGGAGCGAGTGATATTCTGGTCCGGCCGGCCCACAACAGGGTCCCGAGCCACGGTCTCCGCCAACTCCGCCCCCCCCTCCCCCGCCGCACGGGGGCTGCGCTCCTCGGCCGCGCCCCTCCGCTCTGCCCTCGCGCCCGTGCGTCCCTCCCCTCGCTCTCCTCCTCCGCCTCCTCCGCCGTCTCCCGCCCGCTGCAGCCCGCGAGCGCGCGGCACGGTGGCCCCGGCGCAGGGAGTCCCCGCTCCCGAACCCGCACTGGCTCGAGGTGCTGCTCCCCGGAGAGCGCGGCTGGGGGCGCCCGGAGGAGGGGGCGCGGCGGCGCGGTCCCCGCCCCTGCTTGGCGCTCGGCCCCCTCGGGCTCGGCGCGGCTGCGACCTGAGCCGGGCGCCCAGCCGCGTCCCGCCCCCCGCTTCCCCGCCGCCCGCTGGGCATGTAGCAGCGGCAGCAGCTGCGGTCGCCGCGGCGGAATATGGGCGGGAACCACTCCCACAGGCCCCCAGTGTTTGACGAGAATGAGGAAGGTAAGAGGGCAGGGGCGCCGGTCCCCGCCCCCGCCACCCTCTAGCTCGGTGACGGCGGGCTCTGCCTCTCAGCCATCCTCTGTCGCGCGCCGCGGGGCGCGGGGACCCAGGCGCTGCTACATCGTGGCACGGGCGGAGGGCCGGGCCGGTGCCAGGCGCCGGGCTTCCACCGGGGCGACTCCTGGGCGGGCATTGCGTGCCCTGAGGGGGCCGAGGCGGCAGAGCACCGAGCTGGGGTGGCAGATTCGCAGACAAAAGCGGGCCCAAACTTGGGGTGTCGCAGGGAGGACTTGGCTCGGGCAGCTGGTCGGGGTTTTGCGTGCCCGAGGTGTCTGGGAAGCCAGAGCTGCCTTCAGAGCTTGAGGATGGAGGAGGTGGTGTGGCTGACGGGTGGACCTGTGTGTGTGTGTGTGTACGTGTGTACGTGTGCGGTTGTCCAACGCCATTCGGACCAGTGCACGGCCTAGGACAGTTTGAGGAAACTTTCTTGGCTACACTCCATGTCCCCAGGAGAGCGTCTTGCTGGCCTGGCCTCCCTGGTGGAGGAGTGGGGGAGGCCACCCTCACTGGAACCCGGGAGGTTCGGGTCCTGGTGGCTTAGAGCCATAAAGTTAGATGTTCTGTCCAGCAGAACCCTTCTGCTGGTGCTGTGTCTACTGATAACTTGTTAACCTCGAGGAAACACCATTTCCCTCACCTGGGAGCTGAGCGCCTTAAGTACTGTCCGCTCGCATATTGAATTAAGCTTAACCACTAACAATCCAGCTTCAAAGTGCCTAATAAATCGGCTCTGTACACGTGTTGCTGGTTTTCTGTTCCTAACCTCCTGCCACTAAAGCCTGGTTCTGCCTGGGCGGACTTCCATGCCCACTGTGCCCGAGGAAGACAGAGCAGGCAGCACTGAGCTTTGCTGTGGGCCACTTGGCACTGTTCTGGGATCCACCCCCATCGTGCCCCATGACACAGGTGCTGTTTCCACCCGTGTGTTACAGCTGAAGAAAGGGGCTGCCCTTGTCACAGCTGGCCCTGGGGCAGGACAGTCCACCCTGGAAGATGGCTTGTCACTTTTGCTCAGGACACTGCTCTGTGTGCACAGAACTGGCTCCTAGAGGAGCGGAGGCCCTGGGTGCTACTCAGATGCCCCCAGGAAGCCCCGTCTGCAGCATAGCTGAGCACAGCCGCAAAACCAGAGAAGCCAGGCCTGCTGTGTGCACCAGGCCTGGGCACTCTTTCCTTGAAGCATTTTCATCTCTGGTGGCACCAAATGACTGTCCCTGGTTACCAGGCCAGTGAGGGGTCAGTGCAGAGTATGGGAGGCCCAGAGAGGCCCATGGTCTTCCTTGCATTTGGTCTGGAGTGTGGGCAAGTAGGAGCTGGATGGGACCAGTGTGGAGGCTTTTGGAAGGCTCTTGTGTGTCCTAGAGGGCCACCCGCGTGGCCTCACTCCCAGTTTCAGGTGTTCCCACTTCAGCCTTCCAGCCTGGGCCCAGGTCTTGCTCTAGGTAATTTTAACAGCTTCCTGTCTCTTTTCTCTTTCATTTTATTTACAGAGAACACTTGCTGTCTTTGTATTGACAACTGCCCTTTACCCCAGAAAATGTGCTTTAAAATATTTATTGGCAAAATCTTTGTTTCCTTGCAGCTGACCTTCTATTTCCATGCTGTGCTGCTTCGTCCTGAGGGTGGGCTGGGCCTGAGGTTGAGTACCTGTTTGGGTGCTGGTTGAAATCCAAGGTTGGGGCTCTTAGGCCCAGTGAAACATGAACTTGTTGGATTTTGCTAGGTATTTCTCATGGATTCCCTGCGCAAGCACAGCGTTATTTGGCACCAGCAGACTTATTTCCTTAGCTTCCATGGCTTACCTTTCGGGCACCTCCTCCCTGCACTGGGCACCAGGAATGGAGGGAAGGTGGAGTGCCTCCAGCCCCCACTGTAGTGAGAGAGTCGGGGAACACCTTCTTTAAGACCTGAATGGCAGGTGCAATTTTGGCCGGAATGGCAGGTGTTCCCTGGGGGGAAAAGTGGATGGCAGCAGAGAAGGGACAGTTCAGAAGGAGGGAACAGACTGTGCAAATGCAGATGGTAAAGAGTGAACTTGGCCCTTCAGGGTGGTACCAAGGGGTGGTGGCTACCCCTGTAATGTGGGCACAGAGGCTGGAAGGCACAAGTGCTAGGTCAGCCTTAAGGGATGCGATGGCTCCGTGAAGGTGCTCGAGCTTGTGTGTGCAGACATTCTGGCGTCACTGCGGGATGGAGGCACTTTAGAAGTGACACAGTCCCGTGAGTATACCCCCTCTCCTGAACCCTAGTTGTCAGGTGGCTGAGAGGGCGGACACTGGCCTGACCAGGCAAGTGGGGCTTGAGTACCTTCATGCTAAGCACAGCTGAGAGCCCGCCATGCTCTGCTGTGCCATGACCGCCTCCGCTGTGAGGGCAAAGCTGGGCTTATCGTAGACATGCTCCCTCGATCAGGCCAACCTGATATACAGGAAAGCCAGGGGAGCTCTGTTAAGGGCCGAAAAGAGTCCTGCCTGGGGCCCGTGGCAGCATTTCTCTCTTCTGGTGGTGCGTGAATGAACAGCTTGGCTGGCGATGGCGGCTGAGGTTTGGTGGAAGGGGGCCCTGTTGCCCAGCGCCCTTGAGTGCAGATAACAGAAAGCAACATGAAGTGCCTCTGAGGGAATTAATCGGCTCTGGCCACTTCCCGGCACCCGTGGTCACTACCATTCTGCTTCGCACGGTGGTCACCGCTTTGGCATAGATGGCTGCAGTGGCTCCTTCATGATCCTGCTCTGCTGCTACCTGCTTTGTGGTCACTCGTTGCGGTAGACCAGTCAGTTCTCTACTCGGTCCACACTGCCTGGCCCTGCCCTCTGGCCCAGGTGCAATTCCTGAAGGAGAGAATAAAAGCTGCCATCTTTCTAGGTGCACACTGGGCCCTGCCCTTGGACCGCACTGCCTCTGGCACCACCTTGCATCCCCCCCTGAGTGCCCAGCCCTGTGGGGCTGCATGGGGCCTTTACGCAGTGCCCGATCTGAATTGGGGCACCCAGGTGCTTCCCTTGCTTCATCTCCTGCCACCACTTCTCGATGGTTTTACTTATTTTCTTAGTTATTGTGCCTTCCTTCCTATGCTCGGTTGCAGATGCCTTAAAAGCTGTGGTTGTATATAACTGTTTGTCTCCTCCTAGATAGATGCAGGATCCTCAGAGTTAGGAATCTTGTGGATTGGATCTGGTGTTGTGGTCCTAAGCCTAAAGTAACACCTGGACTAAGAGATGCTCTGTAAATTTTTCGTGAGTGAATGAATGAATGAATGAATGCAAGTGTTGGTCTCATCAGCTGCGGTTGGAACTAGGTTCTCACATGACACCAGGCATCCTCTTCCTTGTATCATCTGCCCTCCTGTGGGCTGGGGTCTTGGGAAGGGTCTTTTCTGACTCGCACTCCTCCCAGGCTCATAGTCTTGTAGCTCAAGTGTGCAGAGTTTTCTCATCATGTTTGCCGAGACTGTCAGAGGGTGACTTGGGGTTAGCTCTGACTCAGTCTTACGGTATCCTTGAGCCAAATTTTTAACCAGGGAGAGACCAGAGTCTCACTGGCCAGGCTAGGTCCCAGGCCCATTCTTGGAGCAGGCATGGACTCAGCTCCAGTCGAGGCATTTGAGCAGAAAGTGCATAAAAAAAAATTGCCCCAAGGAATACTAAAGTATCACAGGGACAAAGGTGAGGGGTACTTTTGAGCAGAAACCCATGTACTTGGGCACCTGTTACCATTGTCGTCTTTGCTGGGAGCACTTTGGCTTTTCTCACTCGCTTGTTAGGCTCCTCAGGTAACTTTCTGGTGCTGTAACAAAGTGCCTGAAACAGCCAACTAAGAAAGAGTGGAGGCTTCTTTGGCTCACAGTACTGGAGGTTTCATTCCAGAACTGACTCTACTGTGGTTTTGGGGCTGTACAGAGGCAGCACATCATGGTGGGAGTACAGCAGAGGAAATCCAAGAAGTGAAGGAGTGAGGAAGAGACCAACCACAGGGCCTCAAGGACAGCAAGTCTCCAACTAGGCCCCACCTTTGGAAAGCTCCATGCTTCCCGGAAGTACCCTAGGAACCAAACCTTTAGCACGCAGATTTGGGGAACATTCCCTGTCCCAACTGTAGCCGCATTCACTTTTCCCACTAGACTGTGGGGCCTTAGAGCAGCAGTCTCTTCTTTTCCATCTTTGTATCTGCGAGACCTCGAGCAGAGCCGCTGAAGGTATAGGGCAGCTGTATTTTGACAGAGAGCTATTTCTTTTTGAAAGAAAGATGAAAGCAGACACTTACTGGGGGCCGATTTCCTGTGTCTTTCTGAGTTCTGAAGGCTTCAGGAAACAGCACATACATCAGGTCTAGGACCAGTCCAATTTGTTTGGAAAGCATGCCTCAGATTTGAGACCAGGATGGCCTTCCTCCTCGTGAAGCTCAGCCTCCCCCTTGGGACTCAACTGAACAGAGACCTGAACACTCAGATTGGACCTTCTGTCTCCAGCAGGGGGTCCTGATTATGGTGCCCAGAGGACCCCTGCAGAAACAGGACATGCAGAAACAGCGACTGTCACAACCAGGGTGTCAGACTATGAGATAGCAGGACTTGGCACATCAGTTCTTCACATCCAGAGAGAAAGCAGAGCTTTTCTCTGTTCCTGCTTTAGCGGCAATGGGGTAGGGGTGGCTGTGCCCCTCAGAGGAGGGGACTGTGTTGACAAGGAGGCAGGATTTCTGTTGAGTCCTGAAGGAGGGCATTAAATGCCTTGAGAGAAAAGGGATCTGTAGTTTGGGAGGATCAAGCAGCATAAGTGAGCCTGAGCTTAGGCATTTCTTAGGCTGGAAGAAGTGGGAGGAACAAATATTCTTAGTAATATACAGTTAATCTGAAATTGGGGTTTGGGGCAATCACGCACAGAAATGGGGAAGACCTTCAGGTCCTGCTACTCTAAGGGGATTAGCTAGTTCAGACAACA